TACAAATTGGTGCATTCACCTTATAGCCAGTGGGATAACCACTTTACAATATGTATTATTTTATTTTTTTGATTATTTTTTTTGAGGTGGGGTAAGGGGGGGTAGAAGGATTACTTTATCCTATCCCAGGTATTCCTTAAAGAGGTGGGGTTTCAAGTGTCTCCGGAAGGTGGTGAGTGACTCCGCTGTCCTGGCGTCGTGAGGGAGCTTGTTCCACCATTGGGGTGCCAGAGCAGCGAACAGTTCATGCGATGGGGTATCCAAGGAAGGAGGGGGGCCGTAGTTGTCTGTTTCTTCCATCTGCAGTGGGGAGAATATGGAGTAATGGGGGGCGATTGACTTCAGTTGTAGTTGTCCTCACCTGCAAGGCATGCCTCCGCTTCTTCCACATTATGGAATTCTAGGAGTGTTCCATTTTTCCTGATTTTCAGGATGGCTGGGTATATCAGAAACGGGCGAAGTCCTCTTGCTGTCATATTTCGTTTGACGTGTTTGAAGCCCAGAAGTAGATGACCCCGCTGACCTGAGGAGAAGTAAAAAGAGAACACAAGCATTATGGGGGTTTTCCCCAGGTCAAACACTTACTTACAATTACCTAGTAATGTCTCTGTACGACATAATGTATCAGATTGTTGGGTTTGTAGATTGTTACCAGACAGCACTGAGACTATCCCATTGCTAGTTTTACCCATTGGTGCTTATGAAATATTGATGTGGACCAAAGAAGGTCACCTTACTGACCGAGAGCTTGATTGGGTGGAGGATGAGGTGTTTTATATGAGAAGATTTTATTTTAATAATCACATCTATATGCCCAAGCAACCCATCACCCAGGTTATTTGTGTGACATAGAAAATGGAACCGGTCTCCAGTTGGGGCAAAGTCATTGCAAGTATAACCTTTCTGTCTACAATAACATAACCCTGCCTTTACTGTTGAGATGGAACATTCCACCCTAACATGTTGTTGGGAATACATTGTAAACTTAAGGATGTCAATCACTAAACCTACTTCCTCAGTAAGTGGAACTATGTATGTGTGGGGGAAAGCCTACCATCATCTGCCTACAAATTGGTCAGGATCATGCTATGCTGCCTATGTTGTTCCTGCTGTGCGTGCTACCCCAGTACCCCCAAATCACCCTTGTAGCTGGCCCTGCAAAACGTTTTTTCCTCTGCATTACTTCACAATTGGAGGCTGCTGAGGGGAGGACGGCTCATAATAATGGCTGGAACGGAGCAAATGGAATGGAAACCATGTGTTTGATACCATTCCACTGATTCTGCTCCAGCCATTACCACAAGCCCATCCTCCCCAATTAAGGTGCCACCAACCTTCTGTGGTTTGCATGGGTGAAAACTAGCCTGGGGAACATTGGAACTCTGGTGTTGCAATGTCTCCTGGTACTAGTTGGAGTCCTTTTGCGATCGTCCTGCCTGTTTTCATGCCTGACGACCTTGGTGAGGAGATTGTGTGAAACGGTAGTATCTCCTCCCCACCAGATGGTCATGACCACAGAAATGAACTTAAATGACATGACAGATCAGATACATCATGTATGGTGATGCTTACGGATTCCATAGCATCAAAGGGGAATTGTTGTGGCAGAATTAAGGTGAGTAACTTCTCAAGTGTTATGCTCTGTTCTGTGTTGGATTGTGATATTATGCATTTCATAGACTCGTTATCTCCGCACCCTAACACAAGGCTATTGTGTTCTGGAACTCTTGCTTGTAAAAAAATAACCGTTGAGTGAACAATATGATTGTATTGTCACTTCCCACTATTTGTATTTTCTATTTATTATGGATCCCCATTAGCTGCTGCAAAGGCAGCAGCTACTCTTCCTGGGGTCCAGCAAAATTAAGGCAGTTATACATTTTAAAAACATTACAATAGATTCATAACATATTTCACAACATATTAAGTGTGTGCCCTCAGGCCCCTACTCTACTACCACATATCTATAACGTGTGTGTATAGTGTGTTTGTATGCAAGTGTCTATGTTTGTGTTGCTTCACAGTCCCTGCTGTTCCATAAGGTGTATTTTTATCTGTTTTTTAAATCTAATTTTACTGCTTGAATGAGTTACTTGATGTGGAATAGAGTTCCATGAAGTCATGGCTCTATGTAGTACTGTGCGCCTCCCATAGACTGTTCTGGACTTGGGGACTGTGAAGAGACCTCTGGTGGCATGTCTTGTGGGGTTTGCATGGGTGTCCGAGTTGTGTGCAAGTAGTATAAGGGACATGTAACCATTTACTCTTCGAGCTCCTTGCCTGACTGCGATCAGAGAGGGATCTACCTTGCAGCTGCTCATACAGTTGAAGTCGGAAGTTTACATGCACCTTAGCCAAATACATTTAAACTCAGTTTTTCACAATTCCTGACATTTAATCCTAGTAACAATTCCCGGTCTTAGGTCAATTAGGATCACCACTTTATTTTAAGAATGTGAAATGTCAGAATAATAGTAGAGAGAATTACTTAATTCAGCTTTTATTTCTTTCATCACATTCCCAGTCGGTCAGAAGTTTACACTCAATTAGTATTTGGTATCATTTCCTTTAAATTGTTTAACTTGGGTCAAACATTTCGTGTAGCCTTCCACAAGCTTCCCACAATAAGTTGGGGGAATTTTGTCCCATTCCTCCTGACAGAGCTGGTGTAACTGAGTCAGGTTTGTAGGCCTCCTTGCTCGCACACGCTTTTTCAGTTCTGCCCACAAATGTTCTATAGGATTGAGGTCAGGGCTTTGTGATGGCCACTCCAATACCTTGACTTTGTTGTCCTTAAGCCATTTTGCCACAACTTAGGAAGTATGCTTGGGGTCATTGTCCATTTGGAAGACCCAATTGTGACCAAGCTTTAACTTCCTGACTGTTGCTTCAATATATCCACATCATTTTCCTTCCTCATGATGCCATCTATTTTGTGAAGTGCACAAGTCCCTCCTGCAGCAAAGCACCCCCACAGCATGATGCTGCCACCCCCGTGCTTCACGGTTGGAATGGTGTTCTTCGGCTTGCAAGCTATCCCCTTTTTCCTCCAAACATAACGATGGTCATTATGGCCAATAGGTTATATTTTTGTTTCATCAGACCAGAGGACATTTCTCCAAAAAGTAAGATCTTTGTCCCCATGTGTAGTTGCAAACCGTAGTCTGGCTTTTTTATGGCGGTTTTGGAGCAGTGGCTTCTTCCTTGCTAAGCAGCCTTTCAGGTTATGTCGATATGACTCGTTTTAGTGTGGATATAGATACTTTTGTACCTGTTTCCTTCAGCATCTTCACAAGGTCCTTTGCTGTTGTTCTGGGATTGATTTGCACTTTTCACACTAAAGTACGTTCATCTCTAGGAGACAGAACGCGTCTCCTTCCTGAGCGGTATGATGGCTGCGTGGTCCCATGGTGTTTATACTTGCATACTATTGTTTGTACAGATGAACGTGGTACCTTCAGGCGTTTGGAAATTGCTCCCAAGGATGAACCAGACTTGTGGAGGTCTACAATTTCTTTTGAGGTCTTGGCTGATTTCTTTTGATTTTCCCATGATGTCAAGCAAAGAGGCACTGAGTTTGAAGGTAGGCCTTGAAATACATCCACAGGTTCACCTCCAATTGACTCAAATTATGTAAATTAGCCTATCAGAAGCTTCTAAAGCCATGACATCATTTTCTGGAATTTTCCAAGCTGTTTAAAGGCACAGTCAACTTAGTGTATGTAAACTTCTGACCCACTGGAATTGTGATACAGTGAATTTTAAGTGAAATAATCTGTCTGTAAACAATTGTTGGAAAAATTACTTGTGTCATGCACAAAGTAGATGTCCTAACCGACTTGCCAAAACTATAGTTTGTTAACAAGAAATTTGTGGAGTGGTTGAAAAACAAGTTTTAATGACTCCAACCTACGTGTATGTAAACTTCCGACTTCAACTGTATGTATTAAAGATTCACTATTATAATTATAAATCAGTCTCCGCCTAATCTTTGGATAGAATTTTCCGCGACTCTAGTAAAACAAATTCAAGAACAAACTTTTTCAGAAACAACAAACTGAGCTCTCTGTTTATGTTGACACACATGTTCCGGCAGCCATGTTGAGTGCCAGTTACCCATGACTCTATTGGTATGCAAGAGCAACAGAGTTTCTTACCCAAGTCCATTTATTTTACATCCACGAGGGGGAGTGATCGAGTAAGAAGAGTACTTTATTGTATGCCAGTCCAGTACTTAGACTAGTGCAAAGACTGAGGCAAGGAGCTATCAAAGGCTGAATATCAATGATTTATACCTTGAGTTAGTATTAAATTATCAATATTGATATTCAATGACCACCACCATGTTGACAATCACATTGTAATTTTAAAAAGTAGCCTACTTGTCATGGACACAATTAAACAATGATTTACTTACTAAATATTCAGTTGTTAAAACATGATCTGATGCAAACACATTATAGAGAACTGGTCTATCAATGCAGGGTGACATGTTTGTCTCAACCACAAGATGGCAGTGAAGTTTTATTTATAGTAATCAGCTAGGACAGCTTATAAAAAGCAATTGGCAAAATACTAGGCAAGTTTGACTGTTGAATAAATATGAATGCTTACAAGCGGCAATAATTCTATATTTAAAAAAAGCATAATAATGGGCTGAAACCTGTACCCTCAAATGAAAATATCTACATTTTTTCAGCCTCCCTTAAATATTTTATTAGGCGCCTCATTCTATGGTTTTGGATTTACTCCTTCATAGCTGTGCCGTTTTGGGAATTGATTGCTGAAATATTTCCATAGCCAACCTTAAATCACATTTCTAAGTGGGAGTGGGCCAATTGCATTGTACGTAAAGTGTGTTGTGCTGATTTGAATTTGAACAAAAAGTTATGCCTTTAAAAGAGGTTTGGTTAAAAGCCTGCATTTGATGCCAAAGTGAAAAATTACAGACAAGACAAACAGGACAGTGAAAAGCATCAGTAAGGCATGTGAAGTACTTTTTACACTATGCCAGCTCCTCCTCTCCTCTCCTCCTCGAACTCTCCCTTCTCCTCTGCGGTGGCATCCTGGTACTACTGGTATTCAGACACCAGGTCGTTCATGTTGCTCTCTGCCTCGGTGAACTCCATCTCGTCCATGCCCTACCCAGTGTACCAAAGGAGGAATGCCTTGCGGCGGAACATGGGGAGATGCGCTTGAACAGCTCCTGGATGGCAGCGCTGTTGCTGATGAAGGTGGAGGCCATCTTGAGGCCACGGGGAGGAATGTCGCAGACAGCGGTCTTGACGTTGTTGGAGATCCAGTCGACAAAGTAGCTGCTGTTCTTGTTCTGGACGATGAGCATCTGTTCATCCACCTCCTTCATGGACATGCAGCTTCTGAACACTGTGGCCACGGTGAGGTATCGGTCGTGACGTGGGTCGCAGGCCACCATTATGTTCTTGGCGTCGAACATTTGCTGGGTGAGCTTGCGCACAGTGAGGGCCCTGTTCTGCTGAATCCCCCTGCTAGTGAGTGGGACAAAGCCGGGAATTAAGAAGTGGAGACGGGGGTAGCGCACCATGTAGATGGCCAGTTTATGAGGGTCAGTGTTGAGCTGACCGAGGAAATGCAGTCAAGTGGTGATCACGCTCATGGTAGCTGACACCAGGTGGGTGAGGTCACTGTAGGTGGGCGTGGTGATTTTGAGGGTATGGAAGCAGAAGTCATACAGAGAGCCTCATTGTCAATACAGTAGGTCTCGTCAGTGTTCTCTACTAGCTGGTGAACTGAGAGGGTGACGTTGTATAGAATGGCGCTGGAGGGAATAGCAGATGTTTTACGTGCTCCTGACCAATTGTGCGACTTTGTGTGTTTTTCTGCGCTGATCGTAACTTTTTTTGTACATAATGTTTCCGGCATCGTTTCCTATTACCGAAAAGAGCTTCTAGACATCAGAACAGCGATCACTAAACTCAATTTGGATGAGGATTTCTACTTCAGTGAGTCAGCGGCGAAGGACATACTGCTCATCCCGGACCAGGCCCAAATCTCTGACACTTACAGTTAGTGAGTGCATACATTCTTCTGCATTAAAAGCACTGACCACTAGGAGCACCACCTTATGGTAAGATGCTCCTCCGAGAGCAACTTCTCCCAACCATCCAAGAACAGTTTGGTGACGACCAATGCCTTTTCCAGCATGATGGAGCACCTTGCCATAAGGCAAAAGTGATAACTAAGTGGCTCGGGGAACAAAACATCGACATTTTGGGTCCGTGGCCAGGAAACTCCCCAGACCTTAATCCCATTGAGAACTTGTGGTCGATCCTCAAGAGGCGGGTGGACAAACAAAACCCCACAAATTCTGACAAACTCCAAGCATTGATTATGCAAGAATGGGCTGCCATCAGTCAGGATGTGGCCCAGAAGTTAATTGACAGCATGCCAGGGTGGATTGCAGAGGTCTTGAAAAAGAAGGGTCAACACTGCAAATATTGACTCTTTGCATAAACGTAATGTAATTGTCAATAAAAGCCTTTGACACTTATGGAATGCTTGTAATTATACTTCAGTATACCATAGTAACATCTGACAAAAATATCTCATAACACTGAAGCAGCGAACTTTGTGAAGACAAATACTTATAAATAAACTAAATAAACTTTTGAACACGACTGTATGTCTATTTCACCAGCCACGTTGGCGGGTGGTCAGGGCTCCACGGTGCGAGCATTTCACTCACATTTGTGAATAAAAATAGTCAAGTATGATCACATCTATAGTAAAATAAATGCTGCAGTAGCTGTTTTCAAATTATTTCCTTGCGCTGCAACATTGCCTGGCTGGGAGCTGTGCGTACTTGAAGAGCTGAGTGAAAGATTCATTTTAGAAGCGCTGGCACAGGCATAGAAGTTGGTCAAATTTACTTGAAACGAAGGTTTACTTTAGTGAGACTTTGTCCTTGTGTTTCTTTTCTATTTACATTGTTTTGTTCACAAGCTAGGTTGTTTTTCTATGTTTGAGTTTCAACTGCTAAGGAAAAGAAGACAACGCTTCTACTAATCAGACTCAATCTCACAGGCACAAACATGACTCTAGTCGCGCTATCACGGTAACCTCCCGCACTTAAAGTGATATTTTGGTTAAAAGACTCAGGTCACAGAAAAACTGAATTAAACAATATACCACATTAGTTACTTCTTAATAGTAATACATGTATTGTTTTAGAAACATTACAAAGCATGTTCATCCATTTTTTTTGTGGGTTTTGTTGGTGTAATTTTAGGGCAAAACAAATATTTTGGCTGGTAATAAATCTGAGTGGTTGGTAGATTTAAATCTACCTGCCACAGTGGCTGGTGATCAAAAAGTTAATTTTATGCCCTGCTGGGAAATGTTAGCCAAGTTGAGGAGAGTGTTCATGATTATTAGTCTAGTTTGCTCATCTATTGGCAGGATTGATCAGAGCATTTTGCTAGCATGTTATGTATAGCCTAGTGGATTATTTCGCTCTTCACTTGGGTAGTAGCCTATGCTACTCCCGACCAAAAGCCAGTCATTTGTCTGATAATCAATCAATGTTATTTTGTTGAACTAAATCTCCATCTGTAGCCTATATTCGGTTAACTGATCTCTGGCTGGGCAAATAAGTGAAGGTGCAGCTCATCTATTCGTTTGATCATTATCACTTATCAGAAACATTTAGCATGCTATAATGTAGCATAAATCAATATTTTGGTATTCAAAATGTTGGTGTCACTTGCAGCCTAATTGTAGGCTACTTGCTGCTAGATTATTTAACATATTATTGTTACAGTAGGCCTCCCTACACAATAGCCTCACATGGGGTTACTGACCACAATCCATTGAATTAATAATAAGAAGTGTTGATTATTTGGCCTTGGGGAGAGCACAGCGCATGGAAGAAAACAGCCCCGGGAAGGGGTTCTGGAGGTGCTGCAGATAAATTGAAATGCATTTCCTATATAATTACTCCTGTCTGTAGCCTATAGAAAATTTTAAATAATACACCAGAGAGGATCAATAGCTTCTTTCTTTTTTTATTCTGTGAATTGTGTTTTGTCACATTAGAAGCGCATGTAGGGCCGTGACTACTTGAACAATGGTGTAACAGACGGTTATGGATGAAGACCATACGTTTCTACATCTCCTCTTCTTTCCAACTTCCCTTTGGTTCTCAAGCAGCTAATCGCTAGATGGGGTGTGTGACTATTCATTCATTATTCAACAGCAGTCGACAATGTTGTTCTGGCTGAGCCCTATAATGCACTAATGTTGGGTCAAATGGACAATGCGCCAGTCCTCTCCAACCTGACATGGTATAATTTGATACAGAATCATTTCTTAATTTATAGACTAATCAACGCTGATCAGGCCCGTTCCTGGCCGATATACTGCCCTAGAAGAGACAAAAAAAAATGGCCACCCTCCTATCCCCGCAAAGTAGAATAGTAGCTTAGGCTATACAGTGTCGGCCTGCAATGCATTTTTATGAATGCCCATGTGGTAGCCTACTGTTTGTAAAACAGGCAATTTACCTTTAATCATTTGGTTACATGAATTTCTGTTAATGCATGTATTAATTCTAGTCATTTACCATTCTCATTCTTGGAGTGTAAATGTTGTTTGTAGAGTTCACAATCTGCTACACTTGTGAGAAACAAGTTTTCATACCCTCATTTACGCACTCCATGTGAGCAATGAGCATGTCTGGTTTCTCTGTTAATGTTGATGGAGCTAGCGCGCGCCTGAGTACGCATAGATATTCCTGCTTCTCGCAAATGTAGGAAAGTGCCCAGCTGGGCTTCTCACTTTTTTCTTCACCTCATACAGTAAGTCAACATTATAATAGTTCCTCACAGTATTTGACAAATCTTTCCATCACGCTCCCCCTCATTCAGCATCGCTTTTACAGTGCATTCGGAAAGTATTCAGACTCCTTCCCTTTTTCCACATTGTTACGTTTAATTCTAAAATTGATTAAATAAATAAAAATTCATCAATCTACACACAATACCCCATAATGACCAAGCAAAAACAGGATTTTAGAAATGTTTGCAAATGTATTAAAAATAAAAAACTTAAATACCTTATTTACAAGTATTCAGACCCTTTACATACCTCAGTGACAGGGGTAGGCAACCCTGTTCCTGGAGTGCCGCAGATATTGCAGGTTTTGTTCCAACTAGGCACCACACCTGGCCAACTGAGCAAATTGATCAGTGATTTGCCTAAATTCCACACACCTGGTCTTCCAGGTCGGTTAAATCAAAAACATGAAGTGCCTGTGGCACTCCAGGTTCAGGATTGCCTACCCCTGGGTTAGAACAGGCATAATTCCGATATAAAGTAATTTTTCTCAAAGTTGGCGAAATCCCTCGTGCGTCCACTTATATCAGTGCACGTGACAACCTAACCATTACGAAACTTCTATTAGATAAAATAAGCCTCACTTATCTTATATTCGATCAAATAAGCCTCACATAACAAATTAGTAATACAACATTTTGTTGACCAAATTCAACACTCTCGTTGACCTCCATACAAAAATTCCTCACGCCGTGGACAGATTTTGGGCGGAGTAAACCATCTCACTTCGCCTCTTTCTCTCTGGTTGAAGGGCCAGGTAGGAACATCTACTGGGTTATCAACCAACCAGAATCTCCGTAATCCTGACAATAACTGACATCAATTAGACATCCAGTTTTTTTTTTTAAAGCTCCCGGTAAAAAAAAAGAAGCTTAGGCTAAGTGATGGAAATCTTTTTTTGCGGTTATCCACAGGAGGCTGCTGAGGGGAGGAAAGCTCATAATAATGGCTGGAATGGAGAAAATGGAACGGCATCAAACACATGGAAACCATGTGTTGGATGTCTTTGATACCATTCCACCTATTCTGCTCCAGCCATTACCACGAGCCTGTCCTCCCCAACTAAGGTGCCACCAACCACCTGTCTGTACAGTAATGTCATATGGCAATAGTTAATAGTCTATTTAGGGGGAAATCAAAACAATAATTTCAGCTTTATGTAATTGATATATTTCTGTATTGCCACTTGGTCCACATTTAGCATGAGTTTAGAGTATGTTGAAGATGTTAAGAAATTAACGTGTTAATATTCACAATGAACATTCAAACACCATGAAATAAACAAGAGTAAGCATTTCACGGTAAAGGCTACACCTGTTGTATTTCGCACGTGACAATAACAGTTTTATTTGATGTCTCACATGTATACAGTGCGTTCAGAAAGTATTCAGACCCCTTGACTTTTTCCACATTTTGTTACAGCCTTATTCTAAAATGGTTTGAATAGTTTTTTTCCTCAATCTACACACAATACCCCATAATGACAAAGCATTTTTTGTTGCAAAAATACGGAAATATCACATTTACGTAAGTATTCAGACCCTTTACTCACTACTTTGTTGAAGCACCTTTGGCAGCGATTACATCCTCAAGTCTTCTTGGGTATGGCGCTACAAGCTTGGTACACCTGTATTTGGGGAGTTTCTCCCATTCTTCTCTGCAGATCCTCTCAAGCTCTGTCAGATTGGATGGGGAGTGTCGCTGCACAGCTATTTTCAGGTCTCCAGAGATGTTAGATCGGGTTCAAGTCTGGGCTTTGGTTGCGCAACTCAAGGACATTCAGAGACTTGTCCCGAAGCCACTCCTGCGTCGTCTTTGCTGTGTGCTTAGGGCCGTTGTCCTGTTGGAAGGTGAACCTTCGCCCCAGTCTGAGGCCCTGAGTGCTCTGGAGCAGGTTTTAATCAAAGATCTCTCTGTACTTTGCTCCGTTCATCTTTCCCTCGATCTTGACTAGTCTCCCAGTCCCTGCCGCTGAAAAGCATTCCCACAGAATGATGCTGCCACCACCATGCTTCACTGTAGGGATGGTGCCAGGTTTCCTCCAGACGCATTCAGGCCAAAGAGTTCAATCTTGGTTTCATCAGAGCAGAGAATCTTGTTTCTCATGGTCTGAGTCCTTTAGGTGCCTTTGGCAAACTCCAAGCGGGCTGTCGTGCCTTTCACTGAGGAGTGGCTTCCGTCTGGCCACTCTACCATAAATGCATGATTGGTGGAGTGCTGTAGAGATGGTTGTCCTTCTGGAAGGTTCTCCCATCTCCACAGAGGAACTCTGGAGCTGTGTCAGATTAACCATCGGGTTTTTGGTCACCTCCTTGACTAAGGCCCTTCTCCCCCGATTGCTCAGTTTGGCCACTGAAGTTCTTGGGGACCTTCAATGCTGCAGAAATGTTTTTGTACCCTTCCCCAGATCTGAACCTCGACACAATCCTGTCTTGGAGTTCTACCCACAATTCCTTCGACCCCATGGCTTGGTTTTTGCTCTGACATGCACTGTCAACTGTGGGACGTTATATAGACAGGTGTGCCTTTCCAAATCATGTCCGATCAATTGAATTTACCACAGGTGGACTCATCTCAAGGATGATCAGTGGAAACAGGATGCACCTGAGCTCAATTTCGAGTCTCATAGCAAAGGGTCTGAATACTAATGTAAATAAGGTATCTGTTTTTCATTTTTTAAACATTTGCACACATTTCAAAAAAACAGTTTTTTATTTTTTATTATGGGGTATTGTGTGTAGCTTGATGAGAAAAAAATAATATTTAATCAATTTTAGAATAATTTAACGTAACAAAATGTGGAGAAAGGGTCTGAATACTTTTCGAATGCACTGTATAACAACCAACTAAATGAAACCTAGGGTTGTCTGTCAAATAACATACTGTGGTACTCCATAACATACATGTTTGATGAAATTGGCCTGAGCACGGTGCTGCGCCAAATCACTGATATATAAATCATCTTTGCACCCCAACTAATTATGTGAACATTAGTGAATCTGCACTGCACCTTGCTGAGGGTACATTTGTCTTCTTTAATACTGGTTCTTGAAGAAATCTTTAAAATGTTCAGTCCTATTTTACCCTAGTAATAACAAAAAATTTATATTTTTCAAAAATCTAAATGTATTGAGTTTGATAACTAGAATAATATATAATGACAATGGTGTGCTGTATACCGTACTATCCAGGGTTGGTAGGTTACTTTCTAAATGTAATCTGCTACAGTTACTAGTTACCTGTCCAACAGTTTTATCAATAACATAATATTGGGATTGCAAACTCAGTAACGTAATCTGATCACTTTCCATTACTTTTGGATTACTTTCCCCTTGACGCATTAGAAGAAGGGGAAAAAGGATCCATCAAACGCTTGTCATCATAGTGGTCTCTGACTTGTGGACAGACTCACTGAGGTGGAACGAGCGTAAACTTTTTTCAATGCTGAATTGAATGTAATTGAGAAAACAGAAAAGGTGTCATGTTTTCTTCTCTCACAAACGTCCTTTCTGAATTTAAAAGTAATCCAAGAAGTAATGTAGTTTTTCAAAAGTATCTAATCTGATTACAATTCGTTTTTTGTTATCAGATTGCATGTAACTGATTAAATGTAAATTACTGTTACGCCCCAATTCTGGTGCTACCTTTTTTTACATTTATATTTTATTTCCAATTGTCTAGGTTTCATGGCAGCAGTACTCTAATTGTGAAGGATAAAAAATATATATTTGACTCGGAAGTGACGGTTGGTGCTGCGGCCTTCACGTGAGTGAAAATAATTCTGACAACACTATCGCGTGTCAAAGTAGTTAGTTAGACACTTGGTGGTAAAGTAATGTGTGTAACACTGACAGATAATAATATCTAGACAAATTACAATCAAAACACCGTTAGCTTGTCACATTTGCTAGCTAGCAAGAGCGCGGATACAGAGCAAGTACCCTGTACTTGGCTCGCATCAACTCAACAGCGCTGTGTGGAGGACTAGCTCCAGCTTGCTAGCTACTGTTTCCTCCAGCGAAGTTGCTCTGATGGCGAAAAACACTCTTTCGTCGCGATTCAGGAAACTCGACATAGATGAATTTGATGAGAACAAATTCGTTGATGATCACGATGAGGCTGGTGATAATCAGGGACCGGACGGGGCGGAGATAGACAACCTCATCAGGCAATATCCTTTACGTTCGTGCAGATGCCCCCATGTTATCGAGCTAACGTTAGCAAGCTAGTTAACACATTTAGCTAACGTTAACAGATAGCCGAGGTGATTTGATGATGCGATTTTGTTTTATAATCAAAAACCAAATGCTCATTTCATTTATTGTGCTCGTACTGACACATGTGTCTTGCTAGGTAGTTAGCTGATGTTATGTAAATATGTCGGTTTAGGTTGTTAGTTAGCCAATGGATGATATCCCTGGCTGAACCGTTTTAGCGCTGGTCCAGACCAGTGCGCCCTCCAGAGCTATCTGAACACGAGACTCTAGCTACTTGTTAGCTAACAGTTAGCTAGGTAACTTAGTTATGTCTAAACATAGTTGTCTATTGTTAGCATGGAAAGCACCAGCAGTTGCTGCAGTATTAATGAAGGAATCACTGTGCCATTTGATGTGGGTGAGACATGAGTTGCAGGGTGTCGGGACACTCCCTTCGGTCTCAATGTAGACTTTGATCTGAAGCCATTCTTGTGGTTATTGTGATTTTGCTATCCATTGTAAGTCTTTGTTGGCCTATGTAGCCAAATTGTATCTATGATCATATGTTATCCATTCATGCATTTTTATGTTCTATTTATATCTGTAAATCAACCAATGAAATCAAGCCACACCCAGCCATGATTGCAGGCACCTGTGTCCTTTCAAAGTATAAATTAGTGACCCTCAGCGCATGTCATTATACTATGATGAAGACAGCTTGTCTGTTGAAACGTTGGTTATAAAAGTATTGCATCTGAACTCCTAGAGTGTGCGGCTCTCCTTTTCTTTTTCAAGTGTTTTACTCAGCTAGCCAGCACCTCGCCTAAATAGGTGTGTGTTTCTTTTATTTTTTATTTTTTTTATTTCACCTTTATTTAACCAGGTAAGCCAGTTGAGAACAGGTTCTCATTTACAACTGCGACCTGGCCAAGATAAAGCAAAGTAGTGCAATAAAAACAACACAGTTACATATGGGGTAAAAAAAACATAAAGTCAGAAATACAACAGAAAATATATATACAGTGTGTGCAAATGTAGCAAGTTATGGAGGTAAGGCAATAAATAGGCTATAGTGCAGAATAATTACAATAGTATTAACACTGGAATGCTAGATGTGCAAGAGATTATGTGCAAATAGAGATACTGGGGTGCAAAAGAGCAAAATAAATAACAATATAGGGATGAGGTAGTTGGGTGGGCTAATTTCAGATGGGCTGTGTACAGGTGCAGTGATCGGTAAGGTGCTCTGACAACTGATGCTTAAAGTTATTGAGGGAGATAAGAGTCTCCAGCTTCAGAGATTTTTGCAATTCGTTCCAGTCATTGGCAGCAGAGAACTGGAAGGAATGGCGGCCAAAGGAGGTGTTGGCTTTGGGAATGACCAGAGAGATATACCTGCTGGAGCGCAGACTACGGGTGGGTGCTGCTATGGTGACCAATGAGCTAAGATAAGGCGGGGATTTGCCTAGCAGTGATTTATAGATGGCCTGGAGCCAGTGGGTTTGACGACGAACATGTAGTGAGGACCAGCCAACAAGAGCGTACAGGTCACAGTGGTGGGTAGTGTATGGGGCCTTGGAGACAAAACGGATGGCACTGTGATAGACTACATCCAATTTGCTGAGTAGAGTGTTGGAGGCTATTTTGTAAATGACATCGCCGAAGTCAAGGATCGGTAGGATAGTCAGTTTTACGAGGGCATGTTTGGCAGCATGAGTGAAGGAGGCTTTGTTGCGAAATAGGAAGCCGATTCTAGATTTAACTTTGGATTGGAGATTCTTTATGTGAGTCTGGAAGTTGAGTTTACAGTCTAACCAGACACCTAGATATTTGTAGTTGTCCACATACTCTAGGTCAGACCCGTCGAGAGTAGTGATTCTAGTCGGGTGGGCGGGTGCTAGCAGCGTTCGATTGAAAAGCATGCATTTAGTTTTACTAGTGTTTAAGAGCAGTTGAAGGCTACTGAAGGATTGTTGTATGGCATTGAAGCTCGTTTGGAGGTTTGTTAACACAGTGTCCAATGAAGGGCCAGATGTATACAAAATGGTGTCGTCTGCGTAGAGGTGGATCTGAGAGTCACCAGCAGCAAGAGCGACATCATTGATATACACGGAGAAAAGTGTCGGCCCAAGAATTGAACCCTGTGGCACCCCCATAGAGACTGCCATAGGTCCAGACAACAGGCCCTCCGATTTGACACACTGAACTCTATCTGAGAAGTAGTTGGTGAACCAGGCGAGGCAGTCATTTGAGAAACCAAGGCTATTTAGTCTGCCAATAAGAATGCGGTGGTTGACAGTCGAAAGCCTTGGCCAGGTCGATGAAGACGGCTGCACAGTACTGTCTATTATCAATCGCGGTTATAATATCGTTTAGGACCTTGAGCGTGGCTGAAGTGCACCCGTGACCAGCTCGGAAACCGGATTGCATAGCGGAGAAGGTACGGTGGTATTCGAAATGGTCGATGATCTGTTTGTTAACTTGGCTTTCGAATACTTTCGAAAGGCAGGGCAGGATGGATATAGGTCTGTAGCAGTTTGGATCTAGAGTGTCACCCCCTTTGAAGAGGGGGATGACCGCGGCAGCTTTCCAATCTCTGGGGATCTCAGACGTTATGAAAGAGAGGTTGAACAGACTAGTAATAGGGGTTGCGACAATTTCGGCGGCTAGTTTTAGAAAGAAAGGGTCCAGATTGTCTAGCCCAGCTGATTTGTAGGGGTCCAGATTTTGCAGCGCTTTCAAAACATCAGCTGTCTGAATTTGTGTGAAGGAGAAGCGGGGGGGGCATGGGCAAGTTGCAGCAGAGGGTGCAGAGTTGGTGGCCGGGTTAGTGGTAGCCAGATGGAAAGCATGGCCAGCTGTAGCAAAATGCTTGTTGAAATTCTCGATTATTGTAGATTTATCGGTGGTGATAGTGTTTCCTAGCCTCAGTGCAGTGGGCAGCTGGGAGGAAGTGCTCTTATTCTCCATGGACTTTACAGTGTCCCAAAACTTTTTGGAGTTAGTGCTACAGGATGCAAATTTCTGTTTGAAAAAGTTAGCCTTTGCTTTCCTGACTGCTTGTGTATATTGGTTCCTAACTTCCCTGAAAAGTTGCATATCGCGGGGGCTATTTGATGCTAATGCTGTACGCCACAGGATGTTTTTGTGCTGGTCAAGGGCAGTCAAGTCTGAGGAGAACCAGGGGCTATATCGGTTCTTAGTTCTGTATTTTTTGAATGGGGCATGTTTATTTAAGATTGAGAGGAAATTACTTTTAAGGAACAACCAGGCATCCTCTACTGACGGAATGAGATCTATATCCATCCAGGATACCTGGGCCAGGTCAATTAGGAAGGCCTCTGTTGGTGGAAAAGTATTTGCTTGTGGAGATGTACAATGTTTTCCTGCCACTCAAACCTATTTAGGATATGGCAATAGACAGTGTTGAATTCCTTAACTGACTGTAATGCACAGGAGACATGATGACAGCTTTTCACATTGCTCTGCGGAACCCTCCTCTCAACACTAAGAATCCAGCAATTAAGGTAAGGGGCCAAGACATACAAGACATCCATACAGAAATGGTTTGTCGAGATCTGTGTGGAAGAACTGGACTGCACAGAGCCCTAACCTAAACCCCATCGAACATCTTTGGGATGAATTGGAACGGCGACTGCAAGCACAACATCAGTGCCCGACCACACTAATGGTAGCTCAATTGGTAGAGCATGGCGCTTGTAACGCCAGGGTAGTGAGTTCGATCCCCGTGACCACCCATACGTAAAAATTTATGCACACATGACTGTAAGTCGCTTTGGATAAAAGTGTCTGCTAAATGGCTTAATAATAATAATAATGCTCGTGGCTAAATGGAAGCAAGTCCCTGCAGCAATGTTCCAACATCTAGTGGAAAGCCTTCCCAGAAGAGTGGAGGCTGTTATAGCAGCAAATGGGGGACCAACTCCATATTAATGCCCTTGATTTTGGAATGAGATGTTTGACGAGCAGGTGTCCCGATACTTTTGGTCATGTAGTGTACTTGGAGTCAATATTAACATTCGTTAAGAATGCTAGCTCATGGCAGGAGAGGCTTAGCAAGTGTCCCAAAAATGTGTTGCCTCTCTCTTGGGAATCTGCACTGGTGTAAATAACTTTAACACTCTCACTGTCTTGTTCTGTCTTTCAGGAAAGGGCTCTGGTAATAGTGTTGAGAGTGTTGACGTCATTCAAGTCAAGCGATATTGAGCCAGCCGTCAAGTCGCTTGACCGAAGCGGGGTGGACCTGCTTATGAAGTACATATATAGAGGCTTCGAGAAGCCCTCCGACAATAGCAGTGCCATTCTCCTACAGTGGCACGAAAAGGTGTGAAAGCTATATCTGAACTTGTGCAATCTTTAAACTCTAGGAGGCTGCTGAGGGGTGGTTGGCTCATAATAATGGCTGGAATGGAATGGCATCAAACACATGGAAACCGTGTTTGACATTGGATACCATTCTATTAATTCCGTTCCAGCCATTACTATGAGCCCGTCCTCCCCAATTAAGGTGCCACCGGCCACCTGTGGTATGATGTTTGTTCATTTGTCTCTTCCCCTTTCTTTCTTCACTCAGGCTTTCGCAGTTGGGGGCTTAGGGTCAATCGTACGAGTTCTGACGGCCCGAAAGACAGTTTGAGGGGAGGTGCTTTATCAAGTAGAGCGTCTCGGATGACCACTGGCAAGAGGAGTGACTTCCTTCTGTGGAAGGGAAAGTAGATTATCACAATTAATTTCTTACTGAAGAAAAAACCCTTACACTACAAAAGTTAAAGACAAAAAAGGGAACATTATTTTCAGTTTCAAAATGTATGGGATAGCTGTAATTTAGGAAAGGATGATACGTGTTCATGTATAGGATTATCATTTTTACCCAATCACGAGACTTTGTCGCGCTCTATTTCTTTATTGCATTAATGTTCTAATCAGCATGTGCATCAGCATGTGTTTCTTTGAGGGTGGGGAAAGGAAGGAAAAGAGACATGAACATGGCAGGGCAAAGGAAGTGTGTGCATTAAGTGGTACTGTACCTTTATACGCGTGTGTGTGATAAATTCAGTGTGCTTGCGAGTGTATATATGTCTGATATGCCAGTGTTTAATATTTCATTTTTTTCTCATTGTTATTTTTATACAGACAGAAGTACATTTAATATAAAGAGATTGAGATTCAATTAATTGGTATGTGGGGTATATTGAACAATGGGGGATTTCATTGTGAAGTGCCTGCTGCAATAAAACTGGAAACAAGTGTCCTTGTCATTTGCCCTCTCTATGGGAGCCAAATTCTGATATTTTTTTTCCGCTAATTGGTCTTTTGACCAATCACATAGCATCTTTTTCAGAGCTGATCGGATTGTTTAAAAGACCAATTAGTGGAAAAAAATATCAGAATTGGGCTGCCTGTCTAAACGCAGCTTAGTATATTCAGAATTGTGGTAGTGAATTTGGCTGCGGAACCGGTTTTCCTGTTCAGATTGAATACAACCATGGCACGTGTGACAAACTGCTCTTTCCACACTAGGGACTAATATTCTTGTGATTCTACAAACTTTAGTTCCAGAGGAAAAACACCACTGTCATCCAAATAGTGTACATTATTTTTAGTTTTTTTGCATATTCTATGTGCAAGCACAAAGCAGAGTATTTTCAGTAAACCTGCCCTATGCGCTTGGGGAGAGCCGTAAGGATTGCAATATGGTGAAAATTCCATTTAGTCTACCGGAGGGTAAGGTGGAGCTAGATGAAAACAAGTACGTAGGGGCTAGGGGTCAATTTGGTAATGGATGTTTGCTTGACAATAGCCTTTAAGTGCAAAATTATTTTTAGTGAACTGTCAATTTAAGGGCAGGACATATCAGGAGGAAAGATTGGCTTTATTAAAAAATTTATGAGAAGTAGTGTTGGCGGCAGTAAACATTTATTTTTATTTTTACTAGTCAAATGAATTAAAACCACCTCTTATGCTTAACCAGAAATGTTAAGCTCCAAATTACATCTATTCACACAGGATTTTAAACAGCTACAACTTACAGCCACCCAGGGAACACTAAAAAGTAAAGGTTCCTGGAGAATCCTTTAGGAGTTCTTCAAATTGAAACTGTGGGGGAACCCCTATAAGTTCTTCAAAGAACCCTTGAAAAAGGTTATTCGAATAACCTTTTTTGGGAACCCCTAAAAGTTATTTGAAGAACCCTTGAAAAGGGTTATTCAAATAACCTTTTGGGGTTCCTTTTTTAAACTCCCTGTTAAATATATAAACTGCTCAAAAAAATTAAGGGAACACTAAAATAACACATCCTAGATCTGAATGAATGAAATAATCTTATTAAATACTTTTTTCTTTACATAGTTGAATGTGCTGACAACAAAATCACACAAAAATGATCAATGGAAATCAAATTTATCAACCCATGGAGGTCTGAATTTGGAGTCACCCTCAAAATTAAAGTGGAAAACCACACTACAGGCTGATCCAACTTTGATGTAATGTCCTTAAAACAAGTCAAAATGAGGCTCAGTAGTGTGTGTGGCCTCTACGTGCCTGTATGACCTCCCTACAACGCCTGGGCATGCTCCTGATGAGGTGGCGGATGGTCTCCTGAGGGATCTCCTCCCAGACCTGGACTAAAGCATCCGCCAACTCCTGGACAGTCTGTGGTGCAACGTGGCGTTGGTGGATGGAGCGAGACATGATGTCCCAGATGTGCTCAATTGGATTCAGGTCTGGGGAACGGGCGGGCCAGTCCATAGCATCAATGCCTTCCTCTTGCAGGAACTGCTGACACACTCCAGCCACATGAGGTCTAGCATTGTCTTGCATTAGGAGGAACCCAGGGCCAACCGCACCAGCATATGGTCTCACAAGGGGTCTGAGGATCTCATCTCGGTACCTAATGGCAGTCAGGCTACATCTGGCGAGCACATGGAGGGCTGTGCGGCCCCCCAAAGAAATGCCACCCCACACCATGACTGACCCACCGTCAAACCGGTCATGCTGGAGGATGTTGCAGGCAGCAGAACGTTCTCCACGGCGTCTCCAGACTCTGTCACGTCGGTCACATGTGCACAAGAGCACAGGGCGCCAGTGGCGAATTTGCCAATCTTGGTGTTCTCTGGCAAATGCCAAACGTCCTGCACGGTGTTGGGCTGTAAGCACAACCCCCACCTGTGGACGTCGGGCCCTCATACCACCCTCATGGAGTCTGTTTCTGACCGTTTGAGCAGACACATGCACATTTGTGGCCTGCTGGAGGTCATTTTGCAGGGCTCTGGCAGTGCTCCTCCTGCTCCTCCTTGCACAAAGGCGGAGGTAGCAGTCCTGCTGCTGGGTTGTTGCCCTCCTACGGCCTCCTCCACGTCTCCTGATGTACTGTCCTGTCTCCTGGTAGCACCTCCATGCTCTGGACACTACGCTGACAGACACAGCAAACCTTCTTGCCACAGCTCGCATTGATGTGCCATCCTGGATGAGCTGCACTACCTGAGCCACTTGTGTGGGTTGTAGACTCCGTCTCATGCTACCACTAGAGTGAAAGCACCGCCAGCATTCAAAAGTGACCAAAACATCAGCCAGGAAGCATAGGAACTGAGAAGTGGTCTGTGGTGCAAAACCAGTCCTTTATTGGGGGTGTCTTGCTAATTGCCTATACATTTCCACCTGTTGTCTATTCCATTTGCACAACAGCATGTGACATTTATTGTCAATCAGTGTTGCTTCCTAAGTGGACAGTTTGATTTCACAGAAGTGTTATTGACTTGGAGTTACATTGTGTTGTTTAAGTGTCCCCTTTATTTTTTTGAGCAGTGTATGTTCCTCTTCATCAGACAGCAGCTCACGTTTTCACAAGAGACTGTGTTTACGTCGTAAATAGAAGCAGGCCATTGTCTGCCTTCATCACGAGGTGTAATTACGGGAGTTCTGATTGGTTCCAAGTTTGGCAAATTTGCCTGAGCAGACAGTGTTGAAATATAATTTTTAAGAGAAAATGTGCAAGAATTAAAAGGTGCAAACAAATTTTATAGTCATAAGAATGTTTTACTGTCATACCAAAAAAATTGCTCCTCCCTCGACGGGGATCGATCAACTTCACTTTGGCCCATCACCTAATGATAGCGATAAGTTTCAAGTTAATAGGCCACTGTGGAGTGGATTTACAGTGGTTTAAACAGACAAATCAGATTTATTTGTCAATAACGTAGCCATCTTTTGACCAATCCCTAATAGCTTTTCTTAACCTAAGTGAAGACATGTAGCTTTGCTTTGCTGTGAACCCCTAATTATGTAACCAAAATGTAAATCAGTGCAACCACTGCAGGGCTCAAACCCTGACATCAAGCCAAGGCAAGTATGCTAATCACAATCCAAAATAGAGTTCACACCCTTGCAGGGAGTTGCGCCACCCCACTTCTAACACCAATGCAGCAACCACCATTGGAAGAGATTTCTAGGATATTTTTCAACAAAATACAAACAGGTACTTAAGTTAATAAAGGCCTTTTATTTTCAATTGGTATATGGGTTGCAGTCTACAATAATAAAATACAACAAATCAGAGCAGAAAAATAATCAATACAATTATTTGAATGTACAACAGCATCATAGCCCACTCAGTCCCCAAGACTGTCCCCCTCCCCCTCCCCATCGACCGTGATCTGGTAAAAAAAAAATCCAAACAGGATACTTAAATTGCTGTCTTTGGTGGAAATTATATGTTTTCTTCTATAGACTACATCTGAGAAAGACCATAGTATCAGGTGACATGCCTTTAGCGTAATTGCAATATCGACCCAGTTGGAACGATAACACACCCAAACACAACACTGAACTCCATTCAATAGTTAACATGGAATTCTGTGACACAGTGCAATCAAAGGAATTCAATCCGAGACATCATATGATAACATATGATAAAGAAGCAGTGCAGATGAATGACTGATGAATGTGCACAAAGCTGCGAAACATTGAGTATTCATACAAATACATTGATGGCTACAATTCTTTTTTTAAATCGGAACAGCATGTCCCATTTACTACCATCAAATGGAATTTGAGGGAGTATAAATTAAAACAGGTGTATTGGCATGTAGTAATCTATGAAGATAGGGCTTCAATTGAAATGAGGGGCCAATAGGACTTTTGACTCAATTCATTCAATGCAGCAATGTGATCTGTAAAAAAGAAATGCAAATAAAATGCATTACACAACATCAAATACTTTCAAGGGAAGGGGGAGGTCTGATTGGATATTTCAAGAAGAAAAAAATGGAGACTAAAACAGATAGAGGAGAGATGCAAGTCCCCTCGGGAGATGCCAAGTCCTAAAACTGCTAACCTGTACCTCTTTGTAGATAACAAGGGACCAGATAGGTTTATGAAATATATAGATAGCTGCCCTAAACCCATTAGAAGATTCAGTCCAGAAGCATCTGCTGTTCCGCCTCTCGGCTATGAAAAGCCAACTGACGTACTCCTGAGGTGCTGACCTGTTGCACCCTCTATAACCACTGTGACTATTTTTTGGACCCTGCGCTGGTCATCTATGAACATCTTGAAGAACAATCTGGCCTAAACGGACATGTACTCTTATAATATCCACCTGGCACAGCCAGAAGAGGACTGGCCACCCCTCAGAGCTTGGTTCCTCTCTAGGTTTCTTCCTAGGTTCCTGCCTTTCTAGAGAGTTTTTCCTAGCGACTGTGCATCTACATCGCTTGCTTTTTGGGGTTTTAGGCTGGATATCTGTAAAAGCACTTTGCGACAACTGCTGATGTGAAAAGGGCTTTATAAAATCAATTTGATTGATTGATTGAAGCATCTATCACTTTGGTGTTTGTAGATCTGAAAGGATCAGACAGGCGTAAAGTAAACAAACTAGTGACAGCTCCACCTAGCTTTCCAATGAGGTACAGCGGAGCTTCTATCATATTGATAACACCCACCTCATTCCTTCAGCTCTGTAAACATTGAAGGGGCAAGAGCTATGGTTGTTTCTGGACCAGACCATGGTGAAGCCATTGTTATATTTCTCAGTTACACCAATCCCCTCCCTTAAGACTGCAAACACCAAAAGGGATAGGGGCAAGGGGAAGAGGCTGGGGGCTATTTTGGAACTGAACAAAATGGCTCTTGTAATTAGAGGAAGTAAGGCGTTGTTGTTCGGGGAGGGATGACCCGCTCCGAGTCGGGCACGGCGCGGAACAGCTTGGGCTCCCGTGTGTTCACATCCTTGAAAACCATGATGGAGGCAATGTTTCCACAGCGGTAACAATAGTTGGGCGCAGACCACACCGTCACCAGCTTCTCATCGAACATGAACTTGTAGCCCTCATGGACCAGCTGGTGTGCACGGCAGATCAGCTTCAGATTGTTGATGTGAACAAACTGAAATGGGGAAAGAAGGATCATGGATGGAACTCAGTATTCAACATAGGAGGTGAGGTGCACCCCCAAGAGTCCTTTCCACATGGACCTCTAGCAAGGCTCCAGATTAACTTTTCCCAGGGTGCATGTTCTGGTTTTTGCCCTAGCACTACAGAGCTGATTCAAATAACCAACTAATCTTCAAGCTTTGATTATTTGAATCAGCTGTGTTGTGCTAGGGCAAAAACCAAAATGTGCACCTGGGGAGGGGGGGGGGGTTTACAATTCAAGCACTGAAGGTGTCGATAGTTAGAATGGTTGACGATAGTTAGAATGACCATGTCACTTACTCTCTGCATTGGCAATGACGCATTGTGATTGACATGAGGCGAGACAACCAATGCGACCAAAACAGTCAGTCTGGAAGCCTGTCTAGGCCTGCATTTATCATTGTCCCCTTTGGTAGTTACCCCTCTACGCAGGAGAACAATTTTATGCATTTACCTCATTAGTGACCTTGGCGCCAAAGAGCCAGCCTGCACCTCGCGGACTGATGGCCCAAGTGTCCACATCCTCTGGGTCCGACCACACCAGGTCACAGAAGGCCCCCTTGTGGGGAATCTCTTGGTTGCGCTCGATCGTGCGGATCTGGTCCAGGGTCTTGATGTCAGGTGAAAGGCCACCATGCACACAAAGGATCTGCTCGTCTATCAACTGTGGTCAGAAACTCCAATTAGTTATAGACTCATACAGTACCAGTCAAAGGTTTGGAGACACCTACTCATTCAAGGGTTTTTCTTTATTTTTACTATTTTCTACATTGTAGAATAATAGTGAAGACATCAAAACTATGAAATAACACATATGGAATCATGTAGTAACCAAAAAAAGTGTTAAACAATTCTAAATATAGTTTATATTTGAGATTCTTCAAAGTAGCCACCCTTTGCCTTGACGACAGCTTTGCACACTCTTGGCATTCTCTCAACCAGCTTCACCTGGAATGCTTGTCCAACAGTCTTGAAGGAGTTCCCACATATGTTGAGCACTTGTTGGCTGCTTTTCCTTCACTCTGCCGTCTGACTCATCCCAAACCATCTCAATTGGGTTGAGGTCGGGTGATTGTGAAGGCCAGGTCATCTGATGCAGCACTCCATCACTCTCCTTCTTGGTCAAATAGCCCTTACACTGCCTGGAGGTGTGTTGGGTCATTGTCCTGTTGAAAAACAAATGATACTCCCACTAAGGGCAAACCAGATGGGATGGCGTATCGCTGCAGAATGCTGTGGTAGCCATGCTGGTTAAGTGTGCCTTGAATTCTAAATAAATCACTGACAGTGTTAGACTTCAGTGTGGCTTTGACATTATCGATCATAATCTGCTGCTGGAAAAACGTATGTGTTATGGCTTCACTCCACCTGCTATATTGTGGATACAGAGTTAACTGTCTAAAAGAACACAGAGGGTGTTCTTTAATGGAAGCCACTACAACATAATCCAGGTAGAATCAGGAATTCCCCAGGGCAGCTGTCAAGGCCCATTACTTTTTTCAATTTTTACTAATGACATGCCACTGGCTTTGAGTAAAGCCAGAGTGTCTACGTATGCGGATGACATGTTGAAAGCACCGAGCTGTCTGTTTGAACAACTGGCACACAGCTCAGACACCCATGCATACCCCACAAGACATGCCACCAGAGGTCTCTTCACAGTCCCCAAGTCCAGAACAGACTATGGGAGGCGCACAGTACTACCATAGTAGGTAACTGATGCAAGCAGTAGAATCAGATTTTAAAAAAACATATAAAAATACACCTTATGGAACAGCTGGGACTGTGAAGCAACACAAACATAGGCACAGACACATGCATACACACATGATAACATACTCACTATACACACACGTACACATGGATTTTGTGTTGTAGATATGTGGTAGTAGAGTAGGGGCCTGAGGGCACACACTTAGTGTGCTGTGAAATCTGTTATGAATGTATTGTAATGTTTTTTTAGATGTATAACTGCCTTAATTTTGCTGGACCCCAGGAAGAGTAGCTGCTGCCTTGGCAGCAGCTAATGGGGATCCATAATAAATACAAATACAAAGCACCCCCACACCATCACACCTCCTCCATGCTTCACGGTGGGAACTACACATCCGTTCACCTACTCTGCATTTCACAAAGACACGGCGGTTGGAACCAAAAATCTCACATTTGGACTCATCAAACCAAAGGACAGTTTTCCACCGGTCTAATGTCCATTGATCGTGTTTCTTGGCCCAAGCAAGTCTCTTCTTCTTATTGGTGTCCTTTAGTAGCCTGATTCACGCAGTCTCCTCTGAACAGTTGATGTTGAGATGTGTCTGTTTCTTGAACTCTGTGAAGCATTTATTTGGGCTGCAATTTCTGAGGCTGGTAACTCTAATGAACTTATACTCTGCAGCAGAGGTAACTCTGGGTCTTCCTTTCCTGTGGCGGTCCTCATGAGTGCCACAACAACTGATTGCACACCTGTTAATTGAAATGCATTCCAGGTGACTACCTCATGAAGCTGGTTGAGAGAATGCCAAGAGTGTGCAAAGCTGTCATCAAGGCAAAGGGTGGCTACTTTGAAGAATCTAAAATATATTTTGATTTGTTTAAAACTTTTTTGGTTACTACATGATTCCATATGTGTTATTTCATAGTTTTGATGTCTTCACTATTATTCAACTATGTAGAAAATAGTAAAAATTAAATAAAAACCCTGGAATGAGTAGGTGTGTCCAAACCTTTGACTTGTACTGTAAGTGTGGGAAAATTTTACATAACAAAAGCACATGCACTTAAAAGAAGAGTGAAAGGTCAAGATGATTACCATTTCATTTATATTGTAAAAGTGGAAATCAATGGCTGGACTTACAGCGGCTACTGTTAGCATGTCAAATACTTTAGTGCAGTATCGCCAGGCGTTTGCATTCCCGTATTTCGTTTGGCACTCATCTGCAAAAAAAGAACTTATATTACACTTCACACATTAGAATTCTGGTAGCGCTTCATTTTATGGTACAACATTCCCAGATATAATGGAAGAAAAGATCATTACACAGTAATAACCTATAAATTGGTCCTCCAGGTTGGGGGTTGTGCGCAGGGCTAACAACCCTGTCACGTAAAACGAAACGCTGTTACAGAAACCTAACAATGCAAATGCGAACTCGAAAAACAAATGGAGGCCCACCCCTGCCGAGGGGACTAATGAAGCAGACTGGTGAAAACCTCCAGGAAGCCAGCCTGCGGAAAAATCTTCTTCTTACAACCAAGACCTCAATCCGACTTGGGACCTGGAATGTCTGTACAATGTACCAAGCAGAAAAAGCAGCACAAGCCACCCAAGTTATAAAGGAATAAAGCAACTAGGGATTGCTGAAGCTTGCTGGACTGGTGCAGATTTGACCACACTATCAAAGCGGGGAAGTGATTGCCTATTCAGGACTCGAGGACAAAGACCATGACCACATTGAAGGTGTAGCTATCATGATGGCCAAGGCCCTGATGGAGTGGGAGGCAGTTTCACCAAGGATCATCACGGCAAGGTTTAACTCCAACGACAGGAAAGTCACCGTTATCCAATGCTACACACAAATAAACAATGCAGTGGAGGAATCAAAACAGCTCTATAACGAGAAGCTACAAGCAGTCTATGATGCAACACCCAGAAGAGACATCAAGATCCTAACGGGAGACCTAAACGCCAAGATAGGTTCAGACAACACAGGCAAAGGGACCATAATGGGGGTTCATGGCCTTGGTCAGATAAATGAAACTGGAGAGCTATTCAGAGACTTCTGTGCCAATAACAACCTAGTTGTAGGAGGTAGCATCTTTCCCCACAAGAGGATCCATAAAGCAACCTGGGACTCAGAACCAGATCGACCACATCATCATAGAAGGCAAATGGAGAAGGAGCTTACTTGATGTTAGAGTTAGGAGAGGTGCTGACATTGCCTCCGACCACCACATGCTCGTGGGAACCCTCAAAACCAAGCTGAGAGCCTTCAAAGATGCCAAGTAACAAACCACACCACAAGTTCAATATCCAGAGCTTCAGAACACAACTGATATAGGAGACATATGCTGTCACACTGCAGAACAGATTGAGTGCCATCTCACACCTCACTGAGGGAAGACACACTGGACGAGCACTGGACCATGTTAAAAAAACACCTGGTTAGAAACTTGGGCCGTAAGTCCTGGGCCGTAAGGAAAACTATCGGAAAGTGGCTCTCAGATGCAACCTGGATTCTTATAGAACAAAGGAGGCAGCTGAAACAGAACCTCAACTGCTGTAGCAATCCTGCAGAGATATCCAAACGTAACATTATGACTATAATTACTGTTCCCTGGAGGAGGGAAATGAGGTACAACATACCATGGGGAGTCGAAATCTCGCAACTTCGGTTGAAGGTTCTAAAATCACACCTGACAAGGTCAATGAAATCCGTGCCTCGCTGGAAGCCCAACCTTCCACAGGTGATAAGCATAAGGCTCAGATTAATTCCTTCAATTTAATACTGCTCTTCACCGAGCACAGGAACGGGTGGTGCGGGGCCAAATGGGTGTTGTATTTCGTTTCCCTCCTTCAGGGAACAGTAGTTATAGTCATAACGCTACGTTCTCTTCCAGTCAGTCAATTTCAGAACAACATACTATGGGGAAATAGAATCACGCCCCAAGCTGACCCCAACAGATACTAAATGAAACGGTCCATTGCAGACAACCCAGACCTGACCCCGCAAGATACGGCAGTTTGCGTATTGCGCACACGGCGTGCTGCCTAGTGACTTTTTCAGTATATGAATAGACACACCTTCTCTATTAATATACTGTCCATAATGTCTATACACACCATCATATACATACACCACCGTTCAAAGTTTGGGGTCACTTAGAAATGTCCTTATTTTCGAAAGAAATGCATTTTTTTTGTCCATTAAAATAACATCAAATTGATCAGATATACAGTGTAGACATTGTTAATGTTGTAAATGGCTATTGTAGCTGGAAAAGGCTGATTCTTTTATGGAATATCTACATAGGCGTACAGAGGCCCATTATCAGCAACCATCAGTCCTGTGTTCCAATAGCACCTTGTGTTTGCTAATCCAAGTTTATAATTTTAAAAGGCTAATTGATCATTAGAAAACCCTTTTGCAATTATGTTAGCACAGCTGAAAACTGTTTAAAGAAGCAATACAACTGGCCTTCTTGAGACTAGTTGAGTATCTGGAGCATCAGCAATTGTGGGTTCGAACAGAACAGAGTCTGCTGGAGATGGACCATTAAGGCCCTTTGCGCCACTAGGAGCTTAAAGGAATAAGCCAAGTGAGTCAACCTATAGATTACTTGTTTGTTTGTTCATTTAGTTAGAACCATTAAGTTAGCTGTCACAATAACTAGGGCACGAGACCCTACAAGGATCCATATTGTCTTAGGTCTTGTTAGAGTTGATGTGCCCCCAGCAATTAGGTATGCGTCTCACCGTAAAAGCCGTACACCTGTGTGATCTGCCTGCTTTCGTGATTTCCTCGTAGAAGCGTGATGCGGTCCGGCCACTTGGCTTTTAAGGCTAGCAGGTATGTGAATGTCTCCAAGCTGTAGTATCCCCTGTCCACAAAGTCTCCCTGAGGAAACAGAGACAGTCACTGACCAGGGTTCAGATCAATCTCAAGTCATCCAGTTTCTTACCATTCTCAATACCATCCTGCTACAGAACAGCTTAACAATAGAATACAGCTTCTTACTTACCATAAAAATGTAGTTTGTGTCTGGAACTTGTCCGCCAGTTCTGAAGAGTTCACATAGGTCATAAAACTGGAGACCGGGATCAGAAAAAGAATTTCACATTCATGGCAACTGGATCATACTACTATAAAAATGGGGATATTTAGAATGTGCATAGTAAAATAACAAAATAATTTGGGAAAGGTATCAAAAAAAAGGAAATTGGATAATACCTGGCCATGAATGTCTCCACAAACAGTGACTGGAGTGGATACTGGTTGAACATTTGATTCCTCGAGTAGCAAATCACATACGTAGTCACATAATCTCTGTAAGGGGTGAGACACATGACAAAATTATCAGGCTGCCAAATAACACTTGCACGTTGGGCCTACTGATATTTCGAAACGACCATATTTGAATTTGCTAATGTTAGATGTATCAACATTTTTTAAAAATTGCAGGGCTAGCAGGTACATCGAGCTCTGTTGACACAGCTTTCTTTACGAAACTTTTGAGGATTTCGCATTTTGTGGTCGTCTCGTCTTCTAAGTTGTTTCTGTGGGTTGCAAATAGCTAAGTTAGCATGACACGAGCAGAATTAAATGTAAAAGGCTTTGAAAATAAAATGCTTGCAGTACGCTCAGTGCGCCGTTGACATTTCACAGAGATGCGCTTGTTTTTGTGAGAAGTCTTCAAAAAAGAACAGGAACATCGAATTAAAGTTGCACTATGCATACATCGCTCTGTAATTTCCTGGTTGCTAAAACTCTTAATAGTTCGCCTAATTTCAGTTTGTGTGACAAAATAAGCTAGTATAGTGTAGAGAATCATTGTACCATCTAAACCACCATGAAATATATTTTCCATCAGGGGCACAACTTTCACTGGGGACATGTAGGACAGCAAGGACACCACAGAGCAGGCTGACAGGCTGTGTGGAGGAAAAGCTTCTGGAAGGTTCGCTGAACCAGCACGGGAAAGTTGAGCATAGTTCAGTGTGTATGTGTTGCTCTCTTTCACTGAGTTGTAAAAGCAAGCAGAGCAGAAACTGGCTACTCTTTAGTTGACTGATGTAGCTGGCAAGGTAACTGCTGTTTAACTTAACAGAAAAAAACTAAACTAGTGTTTATTCGCAGTGCTGAGCTAGTATTGTAACTGACATGTACAGTAACGTTATCTAATGTTTCATCCCCTCTCGAGTGAGGTGAATGAATAAGCTACGCTAGCTAGTAGCAGCTACCACAGCCAGGTCAGCTCTAGCCTGTAGTTATCTGTCAGATAGCGATATGAGGTGGCTATTACTACTACTACTACTACTACTACTACTACTACTACTACTACTAATACCACCACCACCTAACAGCTGTTGTTTGTATGAAAATGTTTTGTAACCTTTGTTTAGTCCCGTTTCAGAAGTAAATTAATTTGGCTAGCTTTCACCAGTTGATGTACTGTTACAGAGAAAGCTGCCCAAAAGTTGGCTAATGTTAGCTATTCTTTTTGCCTCAATCACACTAGATCTGAATCTAACGATGACACCATCGGCCAAACGACTGAAGATTTATATTCTGATGTTTTTTCAGTGCAATGTGAGTTTTATTAGTCAGTATGGCAATGTAACATTATTGATCTGTCAGTTTCCCTAGCTAATTCCTTGCTTTTCACACTGACACAGTAAAAAACTGCTATAAATGTCACAAGCTTCACTGTCACGGTGCACATTAGAGGTCTGCGTGGGACCGATTTCTTCATCCCACTCCCGACGGCAGACGCTGGCTTTCTGTCCGACTCCCACCCGCTACCGTAAGAACTGGTCCCAAACCCAACCACAGTCCCGCAATGTTATTTTAGGTGTATGTGACGCAGCTTACTTGCCAGCCACGGTCCCAGCAATTCTGCGCCCTATTAGCAATATCAAATGCGCAAACATAACTTAAGAAATAGGTTAAATTACCAGAGATTTTCACATGGCCCTTACATTGTATTACTGGGCTATATCAGCCAATATGCTAGATATATATATATATATGCCATTTAGCAGATGCTTTTACCCAAAGCGACTTACATGGAGACAACCTTTGAAAAAGCCCAATAGTGCTCTAAATATAGCCAGTAAATCAGTGACTCCTCCCTGTGAACCAGAGAGCTGGAACTGTAGAACACACTCAACATGTGATATCATATAACACACACACACACACACACACACACACACACACACACACACACACACACACACACACACAGAGATAGATACAGACACAGTTTAGGTAAGCTTTTTGATTGGTCCGCTCTAACCCTATTGGACAACACGACGGCTGAAATCTGAAGCTTGGAATTGTATTGGTTGGCACTTGTTTATTTTATAAACATACAGTATACAGCACAGCATTAGCATTTACATATAGTATATTTGACAATTAAAGAGCAACATTTAATAGGGTTTAAATCAAACCATGTCGGGAAAATAAGCAGTGTTCCATAAACCACCCAGAGCTTCCATATACAGTGGGGGAAAAAAGTATTTAGTCAGCCACCAATTGTGCAAGTTCTCCCACTTAAAAAGATGAGAGGCCTGTAATTTTCATCATAGGTACACGTCAACTATGACAGACAAAATGAGAGAAAAAAAATCCAGAAAATCACATTGTAGGATTTTTAATGAATTTTTTTGCAAATTATGGTGGAAAATAAGTATTTGGTCAATAACAAAAGTTTCTCAATACTTTGTTATATACCCTTTGTTGGCAATGACACAGGTCAAACGTTTTCTGTAAGTCTTCACAAGGTTTTCACACACTGTTGCTGGTATTTTGGCCCATTCCTCCATGCAGATCTCCTCTAGAGCAGTGATGTTCTACTTTCAACTCCCTCCAAAGATTTTCTATGGGGTTGAGATCTGGAGACTGGCTAGGCCACTCCAGGACCTTGAAATGCTTCTTACACTCCTTCGTTGCCCGGGCGGTGTGTTTGGGATTATTGTCATGCTGAAAGACCCAGCCACGTTTCATCTTCAATGCCCTTGCTGATGGAAGGAGGTTTTCACTCAAAATATCACGATACATGGCCCCATTCATTCTTTCCTTTACACGGATCAGTCGTCCTGGTCCCTTTGCAGAAAAACAGCCCCAAAGCATGATGTTTCCACCCCCATGCTTCACAGTAGGTATGGTGTTCTTTGGATGCAACTCAGCATTCTTTGTCCTCCAAACACGACGAGTTGACTTTTTACCAAAAAGTTATATTTTGGTTTCATCTGACCATATGACATTCTCCCAATCCTCTTCTGGATCATCCAAATGCACTCTAGCAAACTTCAGACGGGCCTGGACATGTACTGGCTTAAGCAGGGGGACACGTCTGCCACTGCAGGATTTGAGTCCCTGGCGGCGTAGTGTGTTACTGATGGTAGGCTGTTACTTTGGTCCCAGCTCTCTGCAGGTCATTCACTAGGTCCCCCCGTGTGGTTCTGGGATTTTTGCTCACCGTTCTTGTGATCATTTTGACCCCACGGGGTGAGATCTTGCGTGGAGCCCCAGATCGAGGGAGATTATCAGTGGTCTTGTATGTCTTCCATTTCCTAATAATTGCTCCCACAGTTGATTTCTTCAAACCAAGCTGCTTACCTATTGCAGATTCAGTCTTCCCAGCCTGGTGCAGGTCTACAATTTTGTTTCTGGTGTCCTTTGACAGCTCTTTGGTCTTGGCCATAGTGGAGTTTGGAGTGTGACTGTTTGAGGTTGTGGACAGGTGTCTTTTATACTGATAACAAGTTCAAACAGGTGCCATTAATACAGGTAACGAGTGGAGGACAGAGGAGCCTCTTAAAGAAGAAGTTACAGGTCTGTGAGAGCCAGAAATCTTGCTTGTTTGTAGGTGACCAAATACTTATTTTCCAACATAATTTGCAAATAAATTCATTGCAAATCCTACAATGTGATTTTCTGGAATTTTTTCTCTCTCAATTTGTCTGACATAGGTGACGTGTACCTATGATGAAAATGACAAGCCTTTCATCTTTTTAATAATAATAATAATAATAATAATAATAATAATAAGCCATTTAGCAGACGCTTTTATCCAAAGCGACTTACAGTCATGCGTGCATACATTTTTACGTATGGGTGGTCCCGGGGATCGAACCCACTACCTTGGTGTTACAAGCGCCGTGCTCTACCAGCTGAGCTACAGAGGACCACCCATACGTGGGAGAACTTGCACAATTGGTGGCTGACTAAATACTTTTTTCCCCCCACTGTAGGTAGGACATTCCCACCATCTGGATTGGGAATTCCATCCTATCCCTCTGTAAAAATGTAGGACCCCTCCTGAGAAAGAGTCTTTGGATTCTCACAATGCACTTCAGACAGAGTGGCTGTGTGCAGATGCTGATGCTTGAACATTGATATGTTTATATAGCAAAGCAAGAGTCGTCCCTCAGCATGGAAAACCCTGGGGGTGTGGTCATGTTGAGAGCCCCACCCTCACCCATTAGCCCCTTCAGACCCAGTATGTCCAGTCCCGTGGTCCCATGAAGGACAAGGGGCACAGACTCTTCCTTTAACTGTCAGGAGGATGATGTCATTTGAAGAGAGCAGAGTTGGAGAGACTTGCACTTTCTCTTAAGCTATTTTTATAGCCTTTATAGACAGATTTTTACCTTGTCAGCTCGGGGATTCCATCCAGCAACCTTTCGGTTACTGGCCCAACGCGGCCCAACGCTCCTACCTGCCAGCCTATCTGCCGGGTCTGAATACTTATGTAAATGTCATATCAGTTTTTTATTTGTAATACATTTGCAAAAATGTCAAAAAACCTGTTTTTGCATTGTCATTATGGGGTATTGTGTGTAGATTGATGAGGAAAAAACGATTTAATAAATGTTAGAATATGGCTGTAATGTAACAAAATGTGGAAAAAGTCGAAGAGTCTGAATACTTTGAGTGCACTGTATATACACAAGAGGATATACAGTATAGATAATGAATGTGCTATAAGTATGACTGTAATATAAAGTGGGAATGTAATGTCTTGGTCACGCAGTTGAATAAATAGTAGCTAACTTATAGACCCCTTTCTGTGTTTGCAAACATTGCCGCACGAGGGCGATGTGGCCAAGTTGGTGGCAGAACATGAGTTATTTTAGAATGCCAGCATAAAAACGCCTCTATTTACATGTTGCTTATGAGTGCATTTCGCACTACTTTTGATTATAATTGGATTTTAAGGCTTGTATGAAAGTCCTGCTTAATATAATGTTTGTGTCATCATCGCAAATTAACTGTATTATACTTTTAAAACACTTCAACCAGTAAAACGTCTCTTTGGCTAGCTTTTGTTACAGCCTATGTCAATGAACATTAGCATTCTAGCTAACAACTGCTGCATCCAAAATAGTTATTTTGCAAAGATCACAACCAAATATAATCTTAGCGACTGTTCAAGCAAGAATCGAAACATCATTGTAAGCGTAGGTGAACCCAAAAAAGTTAGTTTGTTTAGAAGTAATAAAAACGTAAATCTAGACTGTGTTGAATGGGCACAGATGGCGACTGCTTTCTAACTGCAGCCAAGAGACGCGTGCATCTGTGCGTGACGTCAGTGTGTCGTGTACTGGAAAGGGGTCTATATAGTAACCGCTGAACAACAGTGTTGACTGCGTGTGTGTATGAGCTTGTGTGTGTTTATAATACGGGTGGTTGTGTGTATGTGTTTGAGTAACGTTAAGGGTTGACTGTGTGGAGAGTAAGTGCAAATAACGTTAACAGTAATCTCTAAGGTGCATATCCATCACAGGTCTAGCTAGTTAACTACTAGCGAGAATATACAACATCTCTTCTACCTTGATTACCCCAAGGCAAATCTGTCAGTGAACAAACAGCATGCAGACAAAACGGTCCAAGGTTTGTCGCTAAAATGTGTGTCGTGCTCAACTAACAAACAGGCAAGCTACTTGCTAGCTAACGTTAACTAAATTAGCTGCTTCCGTTTCGGTGAATATTGATGTCGCAATAAGATGGATAATAGCCTGATCGAATGCACTAACATTGCGGTATTGTTTAAGTACACGAATAAAAAGTAAATTCATGCTCACCTTTAGGTCGTTTTCTGGTAAATATTTGCACTGTCTTGCAATCTCAACATACTTATCCAAGTCCAACGGCGCCATTTTAAAAACGCTGACAATTCGGAAGTAAATGCATATCACTTCCTGTTCTCAAGCAAAGTGAGTTTCTACCAAAGATTATCTATTATAATGACAAGACAGTCGACTAACGGCTCTAAAAATGTAAATACATCCCCCGAAAGGCAGGCGGGAGGAGGCGAGATCAGATGGGAACATTCTAGATAGCCAATTATATTTTGTAACAAACATGTCAATACACTCATACCACCCTAAACACTATGAAACTTCTATTCGATCAAATAAACCTCACCTATCAAAATAGCAATTAACGTTTATCTTGACCAAATTCGACACTCGCTCACCCCCATATTTACATCATTTTACATTTTAGTCATTTAGCAGACGCTCTTATCCAGAGCGACTTACAGGAGCAATTAGGGTTAAGTGCCTTGCTCAAGGGCACATTAACGTCATTTAGCCCTAGCCAGTGGGATAACCACTTTACAATTGGGGGGGGGGGGGGGGTAGAAGGATTCCTTTATCCTATCCCAGGTATTCCTTAAAGAGGTGGGGTTTCAAATGTCTCCGGAAGGTGGTGAGTGACTCCGCTGTCCTGGCGTCGTGAGGGAGCTTGTTCCACCATTGGGGTGCCAGAGCAGCGAACAGTTTTGACTGGGCTGAGCGGGAACTATGCTTCCGCAGAGGAAGGGGAGCCAGCAGGCCAGAGGTGGATGAGCGCAATGCCCTCGTTTGGGTGTAGGGACTGATCAGAGCCTGAAGGTACAGAGGTGCCGTTCCCCTCACTGCTCCATAGGCAAGCACCATGGTCTTGTAGCGGATGCGAGCTTCAACTGGAAGCCAGTGGAGTGTGCGGAGGAGGGGGGTGACGTGAGAGAACTTGGGAAGGTTGAACACCAGACGGGCTGCGGCATTCTGGATGAGTTGTAGGGGTTTAATGGCACAGGCAGGGAGGCCAGCCAACAGCGAGTTGCAGTAGTCCAGACGGGAGATGACAAGTGCCTGGATTAGGACCTGTGCCGCTTCCTGTGTAAGGCAGGGTCGTACTCTCCGAATGTTGTAGAGCATGAACCTGCAGGAGCGGGTCACCGCCTTGATGTTGGCGGAGAACGACAGGGTGTTGTCCAGGGTCACGCCTAGGCTCTTCGCACTCTGGGAGGAGGACACAGCGGAGTTGTCAACCGTGATGGCGAGATCATGGAACGGGCAGTCCTTCCCCGGGAGGAAGAGCAGCTCCGTCTTGCCAGGGTTCAGCTTGAGGTGGTGATCCGTCATCCATACTGATATGTCTGCCAGACATGCAGAGATGCGATTCGCCACCTGGTTATCAGAAGGGGGAAAGGAGAAGATTAGTTGTGTATCGTCAGCGTAGCAATGATAGGAGAGACCATGTGAGGATATGACAGAGCCAAGTGACTTGGTGTATAGGGAGAAAAGGAGAGGGCCTAGAACTGAGCCTTGGGGGACACCAGTGGTGAGAGCACGTGGTGCGGAGACAGCTTCTCGCCACGCCACTTGGTAGGAGCGACCGGTCAGGTAGGACGCAATCCAGGAGTGAGCCGCGCCGGAGATGCCCAGCTCGGAGAGGGTGGAGAGGAGGATCTGATGGTTCACAGTATCAAAGGCAGCAGACAGGTCTAGAAGGACAAGAGCAGAGGAGAGAGAGTTAGCTTTAGCAGTGCGGAGAGTCTCCGTGACACAGAGAAGAGCAGTCTCAGTTGAATGACCAGTCCTGAAACCTGATTGGTTTGGATCAAGAAGGTCATTCTGAGAGAGATAGCAAGAGAGTTGGCTAAAGACGGCACGCTCAATAGTTTTGGAAAGAAAAGAAAGAAGGGATACTGGTCTGTAGTTGTTGACATCAGTGGGGTCGAGTGTTGGTTTTTTGAGAAGGGGAGCAACTCTCGCTCTCTTGAAGACGGAAGTGACATGGCCAGCGGTCAAGGATGAGTTGATCAGCGAGGTGAGGTAGGGGAGAAGGTCACCGGAGATGGTCTGGAGAAGGGAGGAGGGGATGGGGTCAAGCGGGCAGGTTGTTGGGCGGCCTGCAGTCACAAGTCGCAGGATTTTATCTGGAGAGAGAGGGGAGAAAGAAGTCAAAGCATAGGGTAGGGCAGTGTGAGCAGGACCAGCAGTGTCATTAGACTTAACAAACGAGGATCGGATGTCGTCAACCTTCTTTTCAAAGTGGTTGACGAAGTCATCCACAGAGAGAGAGGAGGGGGGGGGGGGGGGGGGGGGGAGGATTCAGGAGGGAGGAAAATGTGGCAAAGAGCTTCCTAGGGTTAGAGGCAGATGCTTGGAATTTAGAGTGGTAGAAGGTGGCCTTAGCAGCAGAAACAGATGAAGAAAATGTAGAGAGGAGGGAGTGAAAAGATGCCAGGTCGGCAGGGAGTTTAGTTTTCTTCCATTTCCGCTCCGCTCCGCTGCCCGGAGCTCTGTTCTGTGAGCTCGCAGTGAGTCATCAAGCCACGGAGCTGGAGGGGAGGACCGAGCCGGCCGGGAGGATAGGGGACACAGAGAGTCAAAGGATGCAGAAAGGGAGGAGAGGAGGGTTGAGGAGGCAGAATCAGGAGATTGGAGGGAGAAGGATTGAGCAGAGGGAAGAGATGATAGGATGGAAGAGGAGAGAGTAGTGGGAGAGAGAGAGCGAAGGTTGCGGCGGCGCATTACCATCTGTGTAGGGGCAGAGTGAGTAGTGTGGGAGGAGAGCGAGAGAGAAAAGGAAACAAAGTAGTGGTCGGAGACATGGAGGGGAGTTGCAGTGAGATTAGTAGAGGAGCAGCATCTAGTGAAGATGAGGTCAAGCGTATTGCCTGCCTTGTGAGTAGGGGGGGACGGTGAGAGGGTGAGGTCAAAAGAGGAGAGGAGTGGAAAGAAGGAGGCAGAGAGAAATGAGTCAATAGACAGGTTGGTTGTTTAGCAACAAAACCGATGGGGTACCGATCGAACCCACAACCCTGGCGTTGCAAACGCCATGCTCTATCAACTGAGCTACATCCCTGCCGGCCATTCCCTCCCCTACCCTGGACGACGCTGGGCCAATTGTGCGCCGCCCATGAGTCTCCCGGTCGCGACAGAGCCTAGATTTGAACCAGGATCTCTAGTGGCACAGTTAGCACTGCGATGCAGTGCCTTAGACCACTGCGCCACTCAGGGCATCACAGACACCGGGATTCTTCCATTTCAACTGACCCTCCTCAACATTTAACACCTCCGGAGAGCAAAGCAAGTCACAGTTCTTGTCCCTAGGTGCGTGGTGCGGAGTGCCCGCTCCCTTTGGACGGAAGAAAAGTCTACTTCGAGTCACTTTCACCGACCCAACAGTCCTCAACCTCTTCTCCACCCATCCTGACACCACATATGGATCAGCCAGAAGGCAATCTCACTCCCATTGGACCAGAATCATCGGGACGAGGCTCGACCTCGGTCGTCTTCACCGCACCTGCCACCGCAGGTAATTCATCCTCATGCTCTCCATGTTGAATTTCCTTCATGTTCCCACCAGCTCCGACAGGGGTAGCTAGCTGGCTAGCCCCCCGCTAAATCGGATTAGAACTCATCATCTGATTTCTTTACTCTCCTTATCCTCTTCTTCTTTTTCTGTGTGGTTATATTACTCATTAGTATTCGTATCACTTTTGGGTGGAGTCGACCCTCTCGCTTCACCTCTTCCTCTCTGGTTTCTACATTCCAACAATATATCAAATGTAAAACCAAAAAGTAATATTTTGGTAAACATTTTAGGTCAGTTTCTCAGACACAGATTAAGTCTTGGACTAAAATGCATGTCTAGATTCTCTATTAAAATGACTTTGTCCAAGACTGTGCCCTGGAACCCAGCCCAAGCTTGTACATCATTTGAAAATAATTATTATTCTTCCAGGGTTGCGCCGAGTCCCCTAGAGGGCATAGATCTTCCTGATGTCGTATTACCTCTAGGTGTCGACAGTCAGCCCAGCTGGTAATACACTTGTGTCCCCCATGGACCGGCTCGTACATAAAACATCCTCCATTCAGGATGCCAAGGCAATCAAAGTTCATTCGAGTTGCCTCTTTTAAAAATAGCTTAGCTGTGGAGTGTAGCCCAATAACAAGGCATAGCCTAGTCGGGAGCGTGGCAAATCTGTCAGTGAACAAACAGCATGCAGACAAAACGGTCCTTTCGCAATATTTCAAATAGCCTACAATCACTATTTCAAATAGCCTACAATCGCGGGAAAACACAGATTGGAAAGCAAATGGCTCCTGCTGCAAAGAGAAGACTAATCTGTCTGCTGTAGGCTACCAAAATATTTGATCCACTTCCAAATATTGTTTTACAAGGGAGAATTAATGAAGAGGCAACTGGAATGAACTTTGTTTACAAAGTAAAACGAGAGAGAGAGAGAGAGAGAGAGAGAGGGGGGGGGGGGGGCTTTTGGCACTAGCACATTGGCCATCACCAGCAAGTGAGCTGCGTGTCATTGGGTGAGTCAGTGAAACTGGAAAGCATTTTTAGGAAAATAATGTATTCATATTGTAGCCTACAATATGTGTCTCCACACACCTAGGCCAAGCTATTGATGGATTCAAGACAAGGTCGTTTTCATTGATCTCAGATTCTCAGTTTTTCAGTGTCAAAGTAGCCTTTCATTTCTATTATTTGTGCGATATTATGCTGCTTTCAAGACAACTGGGAACTCTGAAAAAAACTAGGTTGAATCATGACGTCAGTGATCTTCAGGTCGGAATGTAAGAGCTCTAGAAAGAGGCCCGAGTTCCCGACTTGGAATATCGATTTGGATGACCGTTCAATACAAATTTTCCCAGTGGGAGCTCGTTTTTCCCAGATTTCCCTGTCGTTATGAACGCACTGAAGTCGGAGGTCAGAGAGTTGTTTTGAACGCGGCATTAAAAAAGATTATGCCAAAGTCTCCAGTCATGTAAAATGACGTAGAATTGCATGAAATGCATTTATAAAAGGCCAACATTTTTCCGGACCCTAGGCCACTAAAAATGTTTCCCATGTGTACAAATTCTGTAAGTGCCTCTACTCTACTGCTCTATGCTACTA